ATCATAATGAGGACAAAAAGAAGATCACGGAGAAAATGCAACAAATGATCATATATGCATGTGTTGTGTTTATACTTTTTTATTTGCACACAGAACTCACACACGCACAAATAGAGCACTGAAATTTTGGGCTTCAATCACTTGAATTCCCAAAGCTGAAGTTTTATCTACATTTCATCCTTAAGCACCAACCTTAAGGCTGTAATCACCAAATTCAAAAGGTCGTCAATTGGCATTAATTCAAATCAATATAACATTCATAACCAATTTAACACCTAAACTATAACATTCAAACCGATATGACATTCATAACCAATTTAACACCTAAACCATAACATTCAAACCAATTTAACAACTAAACTATAACATTCACACCAATTTAACACCTAAACCATAACATTCAAAACACCTAAGCTATAATGTTCAGCCAATATAACATTCATAACCAATTTAACATTTAAACCAGAACATTCAAAACACTCAAACTATAGCATTCAAACCAATATAACATTCGCAACTAATTTAACACCTAAACTATAACAGTCAAACGGCATAAACTTTAACATTCATAACCAGTTTAACACCTAAACCATTACATTCAAAACACCTAAACTATAACATTCAAAACAAATTTAACACCTAAACCATAACATTCAAAACACCCAAACTATAACATTCATAACCAATTTAACACCCAAACTATAACATTCAAACCACCTAAACTATACCATTCATCATGGATAACATTCAAAACAGACAAACTATAACAGTCAAACCAATATAACATTCATAACCAATTTAGCAACTAAACCATAACATTAAAAACACCAAAACTATTACATTCCAAACACCCAAAATAACAATAAATTAAAACTTGAAAATCAAACTATAACATTCAAAACCAATTTAACATTCGAAAATACCCATACTATAACATTCAAGCCACCCAAACTATAACATTCAAGCTATAACAAAACTTATCAAAATTATTTAAAAAAAACACCTAAATTAACACCCAAATGAACACCAAATTAAAAAAAAAAAGAAAAAGAAAATCAAATCAAATAGATTTGTGGAATTGTCTTTGTGTGCAGTGAGGTGTGTGAAAAACAAAGTGTGTATGCGTGCATTGGGGTTTTTTTGTGTAGTGGTGTGGGGGGCTGTGTATGAGTCTGCGTTTGTGTGTTCATCTGTGTGTGTGTTGTGTTTGTGAGTGGGTGTGTGTGTGGTGCGTCTCTGTGTGTGTTGCTACGAAGACAGAGAGAGAGAGAGAATACAACTGTGTGTATGTTACTATAAGGAGAGAAAGAGAGAAAGAGAGGGAGGGAGATTACCTGGATCCATTGCAGAGAAGAGGGGTTGATCTACGGTGGGTGGTGGCAACGGTGGCGTGTGGCATTTGGCGTTGTCGCGGAGAGGCTCAAAACACCCAAACTATAACATTCAAGCTATAAAAAAACTTATCAAACTTATTTGAAAATACACCCAAATGAACAACAAATTAAAAAAAGAAAATAAAATAAATTTGTGGTATTGTCTTTGTGTGAAGGGAGGTGTGTGAAAAACAGAGTGTGTATGCATGCGTTGGGGTTTTTTTGTGTGGTGGTGTAGGGGGTTGTGTATGAGTCTGTGTGTGTGGGTGTGTTTGTGTGTGCATCTGTGTGTGTGTGTTGTGTCTGTGAGTGGGTGTGTGTTGTGTCTCTGTGTGTATGTTGTTATGAAGACAAAGAGAGGGAGAATACGACTATGCGTATGTTACTGTAAAGAGAGAGAAGGGAGAGGGGAGGAGATTACCTAGATCCATTGTAGAGAAGAGGGGTTGATCTATGGTGGGTGGTGGCGAGGGTAGCGTGTGGCGTTTGGCGCTGTGGCAGAGAGGTGGTCTGGCCTCTACGTGTGTGTGCTCTAAGAGAGAGAGAGAAAGGGCATGGGGGTAGGGGTTTCAAATAGAGAGGGAGGGGGCACGTGTCAGGTGGTAAGGGTTTTGGATAGAGAGGGAGGGGGCATGTGTCAGACGCCTGTGTATTGGGCTTTACAGAATAATGGAAGGAGGTGATGGGTGTGATAAGATGGTTTTGAGGGAAAAAATATGTGTAGGATAAAAATTCAAATGCTCTTCTGCTATATATATATATATATATATATATATATATATATATAAACAAGGAGTGGAGTTGTAGAATACCCCTCCTCGGCTAGGCGACTACATTTTCTTGTTGGAAATGCTAGGTTTGATCTACATTGGTATTTTCTTTTTTCCACCCACTACGTTATGTTCTTTTGAGTTCTTCCCCCGCCTGGTTAAGTTGTCTGGGGTTGATGGTGCATCTGGTAAGCTCTTCGGTATTCATCTTCAGAGCTCGGTCAGATGCTTCAATCCTTCATTCATATTCCGTCTCAATATCTTTATTCATGTCTATATTGCGAGTTTACAGTGTGAATGTTTTACTAATCTTCAAATGGACGGTCTCCCCTAGACCTTCTTCTATCTAAGCTCTCATAGTATTCATCTTTGTTTCCTTCTTTGTTACACATCTGTATTCTTTCCCTTACTTTACAAAGATCTTGGCTTTCTAGTTTTTTGTTTGTCTAGTCTGGGCGTGTTGTGGAGAAATCATTTAAGAAACAAAAGCATGTGATAAGCGGAAATCAATACGCATGAAAGGAGTTGTACACGAGTTTGGTAAAGCAGTCACTTTTTGGTTGTACATCGACCTATCGGGAAACTATAAAGTCTCTCACAAGCATCCCTTCTTAGGTTGTAATTTGGCTTTGGCCTTACTTGTTCAGTTTTGGCTCATTCTTTTGATTAATATGTATCTTGTCATGTATGCTTCTTTTGGTGGTATAACATAGATGTCTTCTCTAGCAATAGCCAATCAAGAAGTCAAAGTAGGAGCCAAGCCATCACATAGAACGAGGAATCCCTTACTTGTTTGGATGATGGATGTAGTTCTTGCACTTTATGAGAATGCAGATGCAGTATAATACGAGAATGTATAAGCCAAGTTTGATACACCAAGCCGTTATAAAAAATTTCTTTGTTTCAAATAGGTTAACCCATATCGACCGACCAAGCAACAAAGATTTGAAGAATGACCACATTTTGAGCCTACGACAAGAAATTCCATTAGAACAAATAACAAAGGCATGAATGGGGGAATGCGATACCATAAGGAGGAGTTAATATAACTTAATATTATACTATCTAAATGAGCATGGGGTTTCGGGGGGGACTTATACTTTTCTTAAGGTTTAATACTCATTGTGTTACCATGCTAGTTACTAACTTAGGTATCTAACCCATAATCTATAGAGAACATCCAAGATAGTAATGAATTCTTAGAACAAGCATATCAACAAATTGTGCTTCAATTATAGTTCTTCGGTTGAGTTCGTTCTTTTATTCAAATACATCCCATTCCAGGTTAGCTCTCTGCTCGAAATGCATGGACTGGGCAACCGTCCTTCATTCCCATCATTTTATGTTATGTAAACAGAGACTTCTCCTTCCACTCCCCTATATAGGGAACCTCTATCAATCATCTCATATATGTTTGTCTTGTTAGTCGTATTTCTTTAGTAAGAGGATGTGTTAAAGCAATAAATATCATAGATTTTGGACGATAGGTAGATCCAAGTGCACAAAAATAAAATGTGTTTCATAGGAACTAAAACTTGAATGATATCTTAAAATAAGGAATTAGTTGAATATGCCTGAAAGAAAATAGAGTGAGATGGACATCGGCACTTGCGTGAAGGCTAGCGCATGTAAGCTCACATAAGGATCTCGGCTCATATGTCGTACTCTATCATTGGCATAGACAACATCAATTCATTCGATTACGTTTTACTGTTCAAAATTAATCTATGGATTTCTAGAGCTGGTTACACCAAAATTCACTTTTATTCAATATTGGAGTCAAGTTGAAATAACTTTAATTATATGATATACCCCTTTTTTGGGCCAAGAAAGCATGTTTGCACGCTTTCATATAAAGAGAAACCCTCGATAATATACTTTATTTCACATGCATATAAAAAAAAAAAAAAAAGTAAAGAGTTATGATTTGAATGGGAATTTACAGAAGAATTTTCATTCTTATTTGAGTACCTAGGGAGGGAAAGATCCAAAGCGTAGAACAAGAAGTGTAAAATAAGAAAGAAGAGTTATGGAAATTTGAATAAGAGGAATAGCAGATGCACGGGAATACAAACACATTTCCTCTCATCTTTTACCGTAGGGCAGTCCCTCTCTCTTCCTTTCTTACAGACTAGCTGACATAATGTGAAAAAGGGCACATTTTGCTGCAATCGCGCACTTTTCATTGAAAGAAAAACATTGAGCCTTTGTTATTTTTGTTTCCCGAGTTTATATGCCTTGTTTGTCATGTTTTACATTAGAAACGGGTCTTTTGCTCCCGATCTCTATCTTCTGTCTTCTAATTTGCAAACAGCTTCTTGATCCAGAGATTTGTTGGATTAAGTAAGTATCTATTTATATGCTAATTCAAAAACTATGTTGATCCTGAAGGTTGGTTGGATTTGGTGGGTATCTCATTTTTATGCTATTAGCTTGAAAGGGATTGTGCCTGACAAAAGAGGCCGAGGGGGCAACACGGATGTGCACACCATGTGGGCAAGTCCACGTGTATTACTCATCTAAATTTATCCGGTAGGACCCCACACAGCAAACCCACATGCAAAATTTGTGTCGAAATGCCCAATAGTTTAGTATGAAAATAAAATCTCAAATCCACAAGAAAACCACGAACCATGCCTACACTAATTTCAACCGATCAAATATTAATGTAGCTATCTGCATTGCCTCTAACCCATTGATAAATATTACAAAATCTTGTTTGCACCAAAATATGAAAGATTCGACACAAGGTAAATGGTGGTCATCACATGAATTTAACAAAGTTTACAAAAACCCAGTCTACATGGAACTGAAGTAATCTCTTATGTACAAGAGACCTACAATTTGCAGATTATCATCATAAACCAGTATTGGGGTTGTTACCATCAAGGATTAGAGAGATCTCCAGCCCTCGACTAAACGCTTGGTTGAACATAAGTCGGGTTTGGAATGTTGATATGAATGGGAACCACGAAAAGAGTGCAATGGGGATGAAGATAAGCATCCCCATCCCAGCATCATATAAGAGGGCAATTGAACGTATGGATTTCCACAATCCAAGCTTCTTCATCACAGGTTTCCAAGCCGCAGCGATCTGCAAAAGATATTAAAAAATTTCAAGTCAAAATAATAGAAGAAAACCCAGGATCATTTATTGTGAACAAGACTCAGAAATATAGTGGTACCAGAGAGTTGTCAGCAGCGAAAGGAAAATAAGAAGCGCATCTGAAGATTAAGTTGATAGACATTTGACAAGAGTACATGTAAAACAAGATATCATATGATACCTATCAATGCAGTGCAGTTGTGCTCTTTCGGAGACAGTTGGAATGGCACTGATGTTTGACGTACACCTCATTCTCTGAAGTGTACTATAACAACTAATAGCAGACAGCACATCTAGCATTGCATGAGATGACACTTCCAACATTTTAGCACAATAGTATTTAATGCATTTCTTCACTACGTATTCCAAATGATAGATTTCTGTTATAGCAAACTCTTAGATTTGTTCAGCGAGTGATGCCTGCACATGAGTTGTCTTCGTGTTGTTTGTACATGCACTGCCTTCATAATGTCTCAGCTTCCTCTAAATGTTGGCAACTAGGTTTCAAGATTTGATATTGTCATCCTTCCATTATGTTTTTCTTTCTTCTAAGAATAATTATTCATCAGGCCTCACGCTATAACATGAATGACAGACATACATAAGATAGGCTATCCAATCTCTATCTCAACACCTAAATGGTTGATTAATGGAATTCCAATATCCCAAAAGAGGTGAATAAACCACATTGGTGCATAGAAAGTGGAGAGAAGAGAGAAAAGGAAGGGGTAACAAGTTGAGATGGCTGACAACTTAGCAATCAAGAAGCATTCGTTTCCCATGTATAAAATATGCATCATATTTTGCTACCACAAGATTGAGCCAACTGAATATGAATTGATCCCCTCCAAAAGAGGAAAATTCATTTAACATAGTAGAGTAGATGAGCAACCAAATGGGTATGGTCGGTGTGCATGGTTATGTTTTAAGACATACTATATATGTTCATACATTTATGCAAACTCCACCCCCCCCCCCCCCCCGGGGGGCGCAGGCGGGGGATGTCCCCAAGGGAGGGCCATGTACCCAATACACATTCATATGGAATCTTAAACACATTTTTTTGCTACTCTAACACTGAACTTTCACAACACCCAAACACTGATTCTTGCATTTCAACACACCAAAAAAAACAAAAAAAAAATGGTCTAGAGTATGCCAATTCTAGAAACATTATGAAGGAACTTAATAGTAATTTTAATATGCTGGGTCCGCCGGGAGGAAAATTGAAAAAAGCTTGGAGGAAATCTAAGCATGTCAACTATTTGGTGGGTTCTTGCCATTGGGTGAGATTTGGCATGATCTACATATTTGAGCGCCCCTGAAACTAAGATTTCAAGAGCATGTTAACTATTTTCAAAAAGTGTTGGTGACTGATTACATACGGGTTGCTCACATGGAGACACTTCATACACAGAGACCTTTGGTGGAGTGACTTGTTGAAGCAGAACTGGAGATACTGTGATAGCGCTAAGGCCTTGTTTTGGGAGTCTGGGACATAAAGAAGAGGTTCCTGAGATTTTTCTACTTTTGGTGCTGAAGGAAAAATTCGAAGGATAACTCTGTTGATTTTGAGAGAGACCTAGGGGGCTTCCTTTTGATAGTTTTGGCAGTTTCTTTTGTTTTACAGTAGTTTGCTCGATGCTCCCTTTTTAATGAGTACTATTATTTCTCAACAGTATAGTGTTTCAGAACTAAAAGGCGTTAGACCTATTGTTCTCTTTTTGAAATAAATATACATGACTACTGTGTGTCCAAACTACTGTTTCACTTGAGTTCTGTCACAAATGTGATCATGAATCAAAATTGCGTTTCGGTGCATAGTCTTGGTCAGCTAGGAAAGAGAAGTGTTTGGGAAACATTTCGGAAACAAAATAAAAATTAAATTTGAAATATTCCGAAACATTGGTCAAAACATACCGTAACATACTAAAACATGACAAATAATCTCGAAACATATGAATTTCAAATTTCAATCAATAATTCATTTTCAGACATTTCGAAATGAAATAAAGTTCCTTGGGTGTGATGCTGCTACTGTCACCTATGCACATCGTCAATGCAACAATGTAGAAGTTCCAATTACACTCCAAGTGGTCCCACAATGTGTGATATAAGTATATTACAGGGGACCAGTCAAGGCCAATGACTATTTTTGAGGTTGATTTAATGGACTGCATAAATGCTCACAACACAATAGCAGTACTTTGGAGGTTGGTTCAGCAATCCAGCACACTTTCAAAGGGGAAGAAGGAAAAACCTAATAATAATACTTCTAAGAAAGGGAATGATAAATATCATAACCATAAGTCCCAGAAACTTACAGAAAGAATTCCCCATCCAGTGGGTACAAATGCTAAGATGCAAGCAAATATATCCGGGACAGACAGATTTGTTAATACAACAGCAACGGCTAAACCAGCAAGTGCAAGCAGGAATGAGAGGCCTTGGATAAAGCGCAGCAGCAGCTGAAAATTAACCGATATCTTCTGGCTGAAGGTGAATACCTGTAGAATTAAAATGCAAGGGATGTTTTAAGTTACAGAATCGATGTCTCACTTCAGACGTCTAAGTTATGCCCAAACCTTGAAAAGGATTATAAGCACTGCAAATACAATCCATGACAACCCATAAACCTGCAAGAACATAAAATGTAACAATGGACAACAGTCAGTTCTCTTTCTGAATAGCAAGTTGCCCATAATTGAAGTTGCACTATGTAGAAAAAAGAAAGCCCAGAAAAGGAACAGGTAGTACTTCAACTGAGGACCATGCCTGTACAAGACTACAACTGTTTCTACTAATTTACTCTCGGTTAGTAGTCTTACTAATTTCTTCAACTGTTTTGTGGAAAGTCATTGTGTATTTCAGGAACTAGGGACTGAAAAAATGATTTGTAGTGGTAGAGCATATGGTGTTTTATATTTGCTAAATGATGTCTCTTTATCTACATTGTATTTGGGTCGGGATCTACAAGTGGATATTGCTTCTCTTTTTCCATTCTTATTTCAGTGGCACTGCCGTTTGTGATGCTTGCGAGTTTGCAAAGCATAAGGTTGCTAAATCATGTCATAAGAGCAGTTTTATTTGTGATGCTTGTGAGTTTGCAAAGCATAAACATTCATGTTATTATTCCTTTATGCTTATTCATTCTGATGTGTGGGGTCCCTCTCGAGTTGTTTCTTGTTATGGTTATCGTTAGTTTGTCATATTCATTGATTGTTATTGGAGTGTTACTTGAGTGTATTTACTTCGAAGCAAGAGTGAAATATTTTCTTGCTTTAAAAATTTTCATAAGATGGTGACTTACAAATTTCATACTACTATTAAAACCATTAGGAATGATAAGAGGACTAAATATATTGATAGAGAATTTCAAGCATACTTTGAAGATCATGATATTCTTTATCAAACGAGTTGTACAGGCAATCCTGAACAAAATTGGATTGTAGAACACAAAAACTGTCATCTTCTTGAGATTACCCGTGTTCTTATGTTCACTATGACTGTTCCCCACACTTTTTTGGGGGATGTTGTTTTAACTGTTGCATATCTTATTAATCACTTGTCATCTAGCGGTCTTCAATTTAAGGTTCCTCTTCAACTTATCCCTTTCTCCTTCATCTCTTTCTCCAAGGTATTTGAGTGTACTTGTTTTGTTCATATCTCGCTTCATTCTCGAGGCAAACTCAATCCTAAGGCTGTGCGTTGTGTCTTTGTTGAAAAAGTTACAGATGTTAAGATCCTCAGTCTCACAAGAAATATGTTAGCATGAATGTCACATTTTGTGAGACCAAACCCAACTTTACTTTATTTCAATCCTCTCCTGAGAGGGAGACTAATAATAAGGAAGAGAGAAAACGGGAGGAACTCTCATTTTTTTTCACTTCATTAAGAGATTATTTGTAGTGAAAAGGAGAAATACAAGTGTACTGAAGAAGAATATAATATAGGTGAATCATTAGATAGATCTGATCTTCAGACTATTCTAGGCGTCCATAAAACTAGACCATCCATATGCCACCAAGTCAATTAGCATCCCTAACTCTAGTTTCAGATTCTCCAACATAGGCTTATCCAAATCCTAACGATTTCACAAACTAACATGGTATCAAAGCTCTGATCAAATCTAGCATCACAAAAATGTTGGAACTCGTAGGAAACCACCCAACATAACTAGAACTATTCATCATAAGAACTTGGCATGCTGGCATTAGCATCAGACATACTGACGTTACCATGACCAAGGATCAAAATATCGTTTCGGTGTTTCGAAAATGTTTCGACTCGTTTCGGAAATATAATGAAAAAAATTAAAAATTTAAGAATTATTTTTCTAAAACATTGATAGAAATAAATCAAAATATCTTGAAATACCTTGAAATATTTTAAAACAATTGTGCAAATGTATTGAAATATTATAATACATTTAAAAACATTATGGAATACCTCAAAATATCAGAATTTTGATTCTATTACTGTTTCGTTTCGGTCCCCTTGAAAACGGAAACGTTTCGAAACGATATTTTGATCCTTGACCATGACCCATGTCAAAAAAATTTGAAAAACATGTGGATAGATTCGACTCATGATGCTGACTAATATGGTTATTTTTCTACATTTTTTTAAAACTCTATGACAGTCGTTTGATTTTTTAAAGTATTTTCTAGTTTTTTTGGTCATGTGTTGCGATATGTTTCTCTAAGCAATCTGGAGGCTTTTTTTTGGGTCAAACCTACTTGATTAGGTGCGATTAGGATAGCATTAATATTAATTAAAATTAAAACACAATAAAGGGGGGGGGAATTAAACAATTGGTGAAGACTAAAGACCCACTAGAATCCAGATCCATGCTCGTCGATCACAGACGAGCAAGAGAGAGTGAGAGAAGAAGAAGATCTTAGACTTCAATCGATGAAGACCCACCCACCAAATGAATGAAGACTGAGATTTGAGAGAGAAAGCAAAGACTATAAAGACCCAGTACCAGCCACCGGCAAAAAAGAAAGAAAGAGAGAAGAAGATCGTAATTGGAAGAGGCTGGATCAGGACATGATCTAAATCATGGGAGTGAATGGTGGCTTGGATTTGTTCAGATATGCACTCAGCGATCCCTAGTAAGCTGCTGACTCCTATCCTTTTGATTTTAACACACCCTCTCTCTTTTTTGTTAAAGACGGGGACGAACAACAGACTGTCAAGTTTGATTAAGATTTTAGCATTACAGCTAAATTTTCAGGAATGCATTTTTAGCTTCTATCAAGCTTCAAATTTACAACAAGAACATAGGATCCCCAATTAACAACAAAAAATATTCAATAATTGAAGAAAGTTGTTACCGTTAATGATGTATCATTGGCTTGTATATTTAGCTTGTAGACAATGCCATACTGGAAAATAAAAAATCGAAGACTAAGAATGGTCTCTAGCACCCTCCCACGAAAGGTTCGAATATGAGCCTGTAAACACAATTTCAAAACCATCAACAAGAGAGAATAATAAAACATGAATAACATGTCGATGAAAAAAAAAACAACAATCCTACGAAATAATGCACACATAGTTGCCTAAGCCTACCCAAAATACTTTGAAGTGCATGAGTTGGTTTCAATGATGATGATGATACTGACAATAATTAATGCCTAATGCTCCAAATTCGTAAGTATATTAAATATAAAATTAAAAAACCTAGTGCCAACATGTAGGAGAGGAGAGCATTAATATAAGCACATCACCATATTATGCATAAGAACTATGAAAAATTAGCTATTACAGAGCCATTTACAAAATTAATTTTACAATCGCAAATCATTCAGAGCATGTCAACAAGAAAGGTTTCGGTCAGAACTAGCTTCTTGCATTGTAAAAGGGTATAGTAGGTGCAAGCAGTTGTCCTTGCCAGTAACATTAGTACCAGTTTATAACTTTTTAAAGATATAGATTAAATGATAACCTGATAATCTGAAGAACTATTATATGTAAGGAACAATGTTTCCCTGAAGAATGAAACATTGTTGCGAACCAAGGGTATGAGGTGAGCTTTGCAAGAGATTTTATTTCTGGTCAACTTGGAAGAATAAAAAACAACCAAATACTCAAATCTTTATATTCAAAACAATCTCTAGTTGAAATGCTGAAGCTAAGCACAAGATCCCCACATTAACTTGTTTCAAGCAGCAGCTTTTGAACCTGTCTTAAGATTATTGTAGCTATAGGAGTTAGGGTTTTTGGAGAGAAACTAAGCAAATATAAGTAAAGACTAATATATAAGCAACTAAGCAAATATATCCCGAGGGCAATACTAATTACACAAATGCCATCCCTATTTATCCTAACACTCTCCCTCAAGCTAAAAAATATATATCATATAATCTCAGCTTAGAACAAATATCTCTCCACTAAGTACTACTCTAGGACTTAACAAACATATCAGCAAATTAATCTTTAGACTTTGTCAAATGGTGTGATGATATCGAACAGATTGAAACTTCAATGTATTTCGTTCGTTCATGATATACTGGATTAGAAGTTATGTGAACAATAACTTGATAATCGCAAAACAATTAAAGCGGGTCAATATTCTTAGAGTAGTCTAGTATACTTAGTCTTATCTTATGGGGGTAGTTTAGTCGTTTATTTTACTATATGTTGCCCTACTATACAAGTGTCTCCATTATGTATCTTAGGCAATAAGTATTGATGTTGATGCACAAACTTATTATGTCGTAATGATATTTTTCTCAATGTTCATTTTCTCTTTCTTTAATCAAAGTTTACACAGTATCAGAGCATGTTGTGATCCAAAAACATATTTACATCGTAGTAATTATTTTAGAGGAAGAATATCTTCTTGAACTAGGATTGATATCATCGTAAAATAAACTCATCATCCAGGAACAATTGAAGGCACCTGTTATACAATTTTCGTTTGCTAGAACTATGGCAAGTAGAAACTCAAACTCTCATCAGTCCATTAGTTTAAAATTGACTATTATTGTTAATCAGTTGCAGAGGCTTCTTTAGCACCAACCTACTCTCTAAGTCACTCACTTCATAGGTTCGTTCACTTCAGATCCTTTAAGCATATATCGAATTGCTTGGGTATTTGGCTCAGGTGCTACACATCATAGGACTAGTAGTTCTTCTTTATTTGCATCTACCTTCTCTCCTCCCTTTATATCTGTGTTTGCAGCTAATGGTACTCAAATGTCTCTTACCAGTATTTGGTCTATTATTTGTACGCAACTAACACTTTCTAATTTTTATTGTATTGCACAACTTCCCTTGAATTTGATTTCAGTTAGTTAGCTATTTCACTTTGGATTTTCAAGTCACTTTTCTGCTTCTGATTGTATTGTATAGAATTCACGTTCTAGGAAGCTAATTGAGACAGAAAGTAGAAAGGGAGAGTTGTATTTGTTAAACGAGTTGTATGTTCCATATATTGATGCTTCAACTCTTGATTTATCTTTTTTTCATTTTAGTCTACAATCTTCTAGTTTCTATTTGTAACATTCTCGTTTTGGTCATGTTTCTCATTCTCATTTGGAACTAATAGTTTGAGCAATTTAAAGTGTCATGACATTTTCAATTCTAGTGGATGCAAGTTAGTTAAATTTGTTGTGTTACCTTTTAATAAAAGTTTTACTAGCTCTCTTGCACCTTTTAATTTGGTTCATTAAGATGTATGGGGACTTGCTCCTATTCTCACAAAGGCAGATCCAGATATTATGTGAGACCCAAACATGCATAACATTGCATTTTATAAATATTGTGAATTAACGTTTAATTTACTAATATTTGCATAGGGTTCAAATTATGATAATTAAATATGAAAGGTTAAGTATGTTTTAATTGAGGAAGTTTATTGTAGAATTACAAGTAGTGAATGTATAGACGAGATGTTTTTTTTTAAAGTCTCGGGAAGTTTGGGAGTTAAAATGTTAGAATAAAGGAAAATGGGAGGAGGGTTGTATAATTATGGCAAAAGCATGCATGAGGAGGACACTCGGCTTTATGGTGGTACTACAATTTGTGTTTGGATAAAAAGGGGGGGGGGGGGGGGGTTTATTAGCTTTAATCAAGGGAGAAAGGATAATTAGGGAAGAAATGATTCTTTTGAAAACGTGAGCGTTTTGGTTCCGAACTAGTTTTGGGTGAGAGGTTTCTTTTGCTTTCTTGAGTAAAGCAAGTTTATAATCTTTCATTTATATCTATAGTGTTGGTTGGATACAAGCTTTTGGGTTGTGGGTGTTGAGTTGGGAAACAAGAAACTCTAATCTTGGAAGTGAATTCGGAAGAGTTTGAAGAAAATGGGTTGTGACGAAGGTAAGGAATTCTTGTGAATTACTATGTTTTTCCACTTCTAAAGGTATCTTTGAGATATGGGTATGTGTTGGGTGGTGTTAAAATTGAGTTTAGTTGGTAGAAGATGAGGTTTGAATTGAATTCCAAACTTTGGAACAGGGTTCAACCACTTGATCAGAGTTCTAGTTGGCCTTTAACCGGTTGAAGCCGGTGTTGAACCAGTTGAATGAGACACTGGATAGGTTTCAACCGAGTGAAGAGCATGTTGAACCAGCTCATCAGGCATAAACTTGGGTTACTTTGTTGTGGAGTTCTAAGCTTCTATCCAACTCTTCTAAAATCTTATCATGGCATCCAATGGATCTTAAATAAGTTCTTTATGGGTTTATTTGACAACAATTACATAAATTGAAGTTTAAAACTAGAATCAAAGTGAGTAAAATAGATAATGGTCAGGCAATGATTTGAGTGGTTAAAATACATCACTTAGGAAAAAGTGTGGAAATGCATTGGTATAAGCATGAATATGTATTTATACATGTCTGGTTAATATTAAATGTATGTGCTAGGTCACTTGTTTGTGGTCTACTATGGTATGTGTTAGGAGGTGAGACATTGACGTCTACACTAGATTTGCCTAAGGTCTAATCTAAACATTAAGTAGTTCTATTACTGGACTTAAGGTGAGTAGGTTTTTTCTTGTAATTGATAATGGCTAAGATATGCCATGTGATATTGTTGAATGAACATGTTAATATGCCTTAATGACAATTGTATGGCCTTAGTGACGAAAAAGTAGCCTTAGTGGCGTTAATATGCCTTAATGGCAATTGTATGGCCTTAGTGGCGGATAAGTAACCTTAGTGGCGTTATTATACCTTAATGGCGGATATATGGCCTAAATGGCGGATAAGTAGCCTTAGTGGCAAACATATATATAAATGTATGAAACTGATTAGATATGACTGTTGCAAATGATTATGTGATGATACTTGATGAGTGTGATGATGTATGAAGTATGTTTTCATTATTTTCAATTTAATAAAATTGTACATTCATCGAGCGTGTTGTGCTCATCCCCACAGTTTTGTTTTCAAGTAATTAGACCTTTTGGGAAGTCCACTGCTGAGTCGGGATGGTCAGGGTCATTGGCATGAGTACCTTATAGTTGTAAACTTCAAAATTGAAATTATGTATAGTTGTAATGTAGTGTGTTTGTTGTAGTTGCTATATAAGACAAGTTTGTAACTATGTAAATATGGTTATCTTTTTGTGGGAATATTCTGGTGATAATTATATCATAGGTTTATCTATGATTAAGTTCAAGATAAGAATAGGATCGCTAATGAAGTCCACCCGCTAGAAATAGACAATATGTACTACCTTTCAGGGTAGGGTGTGACATATTATGCCTCTCGTCATGCTATTTTCATGGAACATATTTCCTTCTTTTCTATTTGGTCTAGCTCTTCACATTGGCATAAATCAAATCTCATCTATATTGACCCATTTTTTGCTGATGTTCCCTCTTACACTTGTGTTGGTGATATGAATGTCATTTATGTATCCTCCACTTCTGATTTCCCAGTCCCTGGTCCCCCCCTATTGTACATAATTATGCTCGCAAGACTCCAGTTCTCTCTTTACAAATGTGATACTCCCTCCTCTATTGTCACTCAGTCAAGGATCAAAATTTCATTTCGAAACAGTCGAAATGTTTCCATTTAAAAGGACTGAACCGAATCAGTGATGAGTATAGAGAAGGTTAACTCTAATTCTCCTTAATCCTATTTTTCAATCTCTTCTTTCTATATTCTCCTATCTTGCCTCTTCGCCACTCCAAACCCAAAAAACTGAGGTCTTTTGATTTCAACTTAGTATCCAAGCGATCTAACAGAAATTCTAAGTCACTAGATCATTCAATAAAATATTGGGAATCTGTTGGTGTTGTTGACATCATCATCGGAATGAAAATGTCATCCCTATAGCCGACCAAGGATCAAAATGTCGTGTCGACACGTCCGAAACGTCCGAAACGTTTCGGAATTTCAACACTCCGAAACGAAACAGTAGTCGAATCACAAAATTCCAGTGTTTCGGTCGAAACGGTACTGTTTCGGACCGTTTCGGTCGAAACGGCATTGTTTCGAACCGTTTCGATCGAAACAGTACCGTTTCGACAAAACAGTGATATATTCGGTTCATTATGAATAATTACATTTAATACCCCATTATAATTACATTTAATACCCACTGTAATTACATTTAATACTCACTATAATTATATTTAA